TCTCTCTCTCTCTCTCTCTCTCTCTTTCTCTCTCTCTCACAAAACACATGTGTGCATTTTTAAAAATATATTTTTATTGATTTCAGAGAGGAGGGGAGAGGGAGAGAGAAACATCAATAATAACAGAGAATCATCAATCAGCTGACTCCTGCATGGCCCCTACTGCAACCCGGGCACATGCCCTGACCGGGAATCAAATCTGTAACCTCTTGGTTCCTGGGTCAGTGCTCAACCGTTAAGCCACACCCAGTTGGGCCATTTTCTTGCTTTATCCAATTGTACCTTCACTTCTTTCTTTCATTGCAGCTTCCTCCTTTATTGAGGGAGAGGGTGGAACAGAACAGGCAACTCCAACGTATTGGCCCCTTTCTGTCTTTTCAGTATGAAACCTATCAAAACACACACACACACACACACACACACACACACACACACACACTCTTCTTCACCTACTGGTTTAGTCAGCAGTTATATCAACTTCACATGCTGTTGAGGAGCTCCATCTAGATGACCTGTTGGTGCAAGAACATGAAATATTGTGTTTCTACATGACTGTGCATTAAAACATGTGGCAGAGACCTCCAGTTGTCTCCTTAATTCCATTTTCATCTTCATCCTTATGAAAAAATAAATTCCACCTCCAAGTTTTAGCTGGGCATGTGCCTGTCCATTTAAATGCTAGAATTTCCAGGCTCCCTTGCAGCTAGTTGTGACCACATGACTAAATTCTTGCCAATGGAGTGTATTTCAAAGTTCTGGGTGCAATTTCTTGGTCACATCATTAAAAGAAAGCTCTGCTTTCTTTCCCTGCCTATATGCTGAGTGGAGCTCAGAAGGGTGGTAAATGAGCTGGCTATATCTATGCTGATAGGAACATTCTAAAACAGTACTGTCCAATAGAAATAAGCCTAAGCCAGGTGAAATTAATTTTCTTTGTTAACAGATATCCAGTAGGAATAAATGTAAAACAAATAACTTTAATTTTAACAACATATTTTATTTAACCTAGTACATCTAATTTTCACTTCAATATGTAATCAATATAAAATTATTAATGAGAAGTTTGTTCTTTATTCATACTAATTATTCAACAAATGTGCATTTTACACTTACAGCATATCTCAATTCAGATTAGCCACATTTCAGTGCTGTGACTGATGGCTACATATTGGACAAAGAGTGCTAGATGATGGTGAAGCAACAAGACAGAAGGAATAACAATATAACTATGTATACAGAAGTACTCAAGTTTTAAACCTTGAAAAATTACAATTTGATATACTTTCATTTTTGCATGTTTTTCTTTTTTGCATTTCATGAAACTAAAAGTAATAAACAGTCTCCACAACCATTAAGCACTTAAATATGTACTATGCATCTTTAAATTTTTATTATCAATTTGAATTAAATACTTATTAAAGGGGGACAAAGGTTAAAAATAAATTTGAATAATAAAAAAGAGGAAAATGGAAAATGAAAACACTAATTTGAAAAGATATTTGAACATCCATGTTCATTGCAACATTATTTACAACAGCCAAGCCATGGAAACAACCTCATTTAAGTGTCCATTGATGGCCCTAGCTGGTTTGGCTTAGTGGATAGAGCATCAGCCTATATCACCAAAGGATCCTGGGTTCAATTCCGGTCAAGGGCACGTACCTCAGTTGCAGGCTCCTCTCTGGCCCGGGCCCTAGTCGAAGCTCGTGTGGGAAGCAACCAGTCGATGTGTTTCTCTCACATCAATGTTTCTCTCTGTCTTCCCCTCTCTCTTCCACTCTCCCTAAAAATCAATAGAAAAATATCCTCGGGGTGAGGATTAATAAAAAAAAATTAAGGAAGTATACTGATGGATGGATAAAGAAAATGTGGTACATACAGAGTGGGACAAAAGTAGGTTTACAGTTGTGAGTATGCAAAACACAGAGTTTGTTCTTGTATTATTATTTAATAAGTGTTATATTTTTTCCATACAAACAAACTTTTGCTAACCTACTTTTGCTAACCCCTGTATGTATAATGGAATACTACTCAGCCATAAAAAAGAATGGAAACTTGCTATTTATGACAACATGAATGGACCTTGAGAACATTATGCTAAGTGAAATAAGTCAGACAGAAAAAGAAAAATAC